CAATTTTTGGCAAATGTCTTAGAATGTAGTAATTCTTTAAATGGCATTGGAGGTTTGTGTATCTTCAACACAGAAACACAGCCAACAGACCAGATATAGTTGCTGAAAAAGGTTAAAGCTGATTTAGGCTATAAAACAACACTACGGTTGTTAAATCCCATGCAGCAATATTCAATCCATCATCCATGACTGGTAAAACACAGTTACCTATGAAGACATGGCAGTCTACCTGAACTGAGGCAATCGGAGCAAGGAGAGCATAAATCAGAGGCAGCCAAGAGACCCGTGGTTACTCTGAAAGCTGAGGGGATCCCCATTAAAGGTAGTAAAATGGGTTGATAAGACAAATCTTAGGCAGTCAGTTTAAGACACAATATCTAAAGTGTATTAAAGTGGTAGGAAGGAGAATCATACTGTGGGACACTTCAGCAGGTACAGGAAATCTGCTCAACCTGTAAAGCCCTTCAGCCTAGATGAGAGGTAAACTTTTCAAGAGGACTATCTACAGCAACTGCTACAGCGTAATGCCTTAGATAATTTACTAAATTAATGTATAAGGACACCCTGGGGTAAATTAAATACATAAATAAAAAAATAATCGGCTAGAAGATTTGGAGAGTTGCTTGGGCAAAGACATATTTTTGATCATATGAAGGTGAGCATGTCAGGCCTTTTCCCCTCCTGTTGCAAGTTAGAATCTCTACCAAAGCACTGCCTGATTCTATATTACCAGATTTTAATTGTACTGAAGTCGCATTCAGCAGCCACAATATAAACCACAGTTTCATCCTGCTCTCCTTCCTCTGCTCTGGGTGTTTTGCCTCTTCTCTTTCAAATCTTAGCAGAAGAAGCCAAAATGATTAAAAGCCAACTTTTGACTTCATAATCTCTGCACCCTCACACTTTCATCTATGAAAACTGCTTAATCCTTGTGTATTTATTTAGTCTGGCACCTATGCCTTCAACTCTTCCTGCTCCTTTGCTTCTTTCGACACTTTCAGCATTGTTACGCCTTCAACGCTTTGTTCTCCAACTGCCTCTCTCACAAACATCTTGCATCTTTTGTCCAATCGGAGGACTCTCCTCCCAGCCATGGGTTCTCAACTCTCCAGATGGCGCGGCCCTTTTCCACAGAAGCTCAGCTTCAAAGGCTGCAAAGGAGCAGGAGGAAGAGGCAATGGAAAAGAACATGAAGTACTTCACCTGACATGAAGTAAAAAGAGGAGGAACATAATTTTTAAAGGCTGATATATCCTAATAGTTTTGGTACAACATTTTTTAAAAAGTCAAATTTTAGTCTCAATAAGTCAAAACTTGTTACATTTATTTTCCATCCATCCATTTTCGAACACGCTTAATCCCAAGTGGGGTCGCTGGTGCCTTTTTCCAGCTGTCAATGGGCAAGAGGCAGGGTACACTCTGGACAGGTTGCCAGTCCATCGCAGGGCAACACTCAAAAGAATCATATATAGTGTTGTTTTCGGTTCAGCCATTTTCCCCACATAATGTTCTCTAAATAGCTCCATACATTTCTGTGCTTCATTTAACATCATTTCAACGCACCACAGAAATACTGAAACAAGTTTTTCTCAGTGAGTACCCCTTTGCCATAGAGAGATTTGCTGTTGTGCCAGTGTAGCAATTAGTCCTGGAAATAGCAGGAGGGTCCAATTGTTGTGTTTCTGACCAGGCGGTCAGTAGTTGGGTCTGAACAAGCTTTAAAATGCTGATTTATTAGTGCATCCCCAGTATTTATTGAGGAGGAGTAAGGAAAACCTTACTGCAAATACCCCCTAACAAGTCCTTATTGTCTTCAATGTAATTAGTTAAGTCTCTGCTACAGTAACATTAAAACTTAATTTACGACCAATTTAAATTAAAGAAATTTAAGTAAATGGACCATGGATCCAATTAGGTTTGTTTAATCACACAGAAAAAAATGTTACCTTCATTTTTCAGCGACAAATGTTTCTTTTTTCCAACACAATAACTGCATGAGTCACAAAATAACAAATAAGAATGAAAAACACAAGAGGACTGAGAATGGAAATAAAAAACAAGCACGTGGGCAGAGCAAAAAAGAGGAGTGCTGACGTCTAAATAATATTAGTGTGTAGTATAAAACTCAGCATGCCCATATGACAGGCTGTGTCACTGATGCTGATTCTCCACAGCAGATGATGCTACAGCCAAAAATGACTGCATACCAAAGTACTATACAGCATGCATAAATGACGCCACCTTCACATTCTTTCTAAAAAAAAATACTTTTTAAGTTCTATTTTATCCTAAAAATTAACAAAAGATGCATTTAAGAAGGTGAAAAGTTAACCAGCCCCTGCCACGGGGGCTGCATCAGCTCTGCCTACCACCCACACAATTCCCTTCAGTAATAAAAAAAAAAATCCTTTGACGTGGTCCTACTCCAACAGCAGTCTGCAACTCACAACTAAGCTGTAGAAGGGGGTAAACACATGAGAATTAAAAGAAAAAAACACACCCAAGCATGTCAATGCACAGCAAGAAACCAGAGAAAAAACATCATCTGTTAAAAACTCTTAGTCTACATTAGAGTCAAGTCTAATACACTGTTATCCTTATCGATATGGTCCTAAGGATCGGGATAAGAACCAGTGTTCATTAGGAATAGCAACTTAAGATAACATCTCTGCAGCAAATAATGTATTCTGCCAGCTGATGACCAAGAAAGTTAGGTTGCTGGGGCGCCAATAGTACCGCCCACTTTTGGCTATTATTCCACATAATACACAATCATCAGGGTTCCCACGGGTCCTTAAAAAGCCTTAAAAGTAATTGAATTCTTCAAGATAAAACTAAGGCCTTAATTGGTATCAAAATGTCTTAAATCAGTCTTTTGTCGGTCTTAATTTGTAAAACATCATAAATAGGATTATTTTTATCACGATTTATTTTTGTAATCTAAATAAAACGTTAAAATTGACAATTTGTTTTGTTTTGTTTTTAAATAACGACTCGCCATTATTGGTTCCGTCCCGATAGCGGAATCAATAAAAGCGTTGTTGCGGCCGGGACATTTGGGAGATGCACCATTAACTTTTTGTCTGGAAAATATGAGCAAGTGTAAATGTAACCAAAATTGTCTCCAGCCAAGAGTTTTCTCCATGGCTAAAACCAGGGAACATACATGAGGCAACGTGTATTTTGTGCAAGAAGTAATTCAAGCTCGGAACGATGGGAATTAAGGCAGTGGAGTCGCACATGCGAAGCACGAAACACAAAACGTCAAAATCGAGTTACCGAGAAACAGCCGGTATTTCTCAGTTTTGTTTCACCCTTGTCTCTGCAACGCCTCCACTTATCACCAAATCAAACATACTAAGAAAACGATACAAAGAAAAATAGCTGCAAAAAAGACTTAGCACTGGCTATGTTGTGGCTTTAAAACTGATTTGTTTTGTTCCCTGCTAAAACAAACTTGGGAATTCAGTTAAATAATTGTTAAAATATATCTGTCATTTGTGCGTTTTTAGCTTTCTTCCTGTATGGGAAGTTTTTCAAAATTTGAAACATTACTGCAGTGGTTTATGTTAAAATAAACCTTTGGGTTAAGTTGTCGCAAGCAGGTTTTTCTTGTGTTTCTTGTGAATTTGGTCTTAAATTTTTATTTCAAGTGGCATTAAAAAGTCTTAAAAAGTCTTGAATTTAACTTGCCTTAATCTGTAGGAACCCTGATCATTATGATAAGCATACTGATTGAGAAGTTGCACTTTATATCATAATTCTGTTCTTAGCTATGTGAAATATTTCTTTTTTTTTTTAGAGCATTTTTCTATCTTATTCAATGCCTCATATGTAAAGTTTATAGATGTTAACATTTGTTTTCAAGACAAGTAGGTCTAGACCATAGTATATCCAATGCATGGCTGCCATGCTATACTAATGGAAATGCTTGCGTAAGCCACTAATTTCCCTTGAACTATTTAAGCTTTGTGTGTCGCCGTTGCTCTTTGAAATGTTGCCACTAGTCATTAATGGAGTTGTCAGAACACTCTTACCTATATGGCTCTGGTTTTAGTGTTCACTCCATTAAAAAAAGCAAGATCTCATGTTATATCCAGAACACAATAAAAAAAAAAAACTCAGAGCAAAAGAGGCTGCTTAAGCTTGCGTGCACATATTAATAGACAAATTAAGTGGAAAGAAAAAATGTGGTTTAATATAATTTGAGTTTAGCATATGCCACAGATGAATCACACACAGTATATATTAAGTGTCTCATCCGAGCCAACGAGAAGGACTCAAACTCCTCTTTACAGATAAAAGTAGAATGTGGAAATCAGAGTCCTGGGGTTTTGATGAAGGCAAGAGAGACACAGATTTCAGGTTTCACCAAGTTCCAGTGGTGATTTAATAAGTCCTGTCATTGGCTTGTGTTGATTCACTGTGTGTTATCAAGTCTAAAGGTCTGGCAGTGACCTGTCACTCTGCATTGATTCTACAGTAATTCACCCTAAATGAACCCAAAACAAGTACTGAGAGCGTATAATGTGCAATAAATGGGCTTACTTTTCAGTAAGCCAACATTTTATCTTTAAAAACCTCTTTGTATTAACAGATATCAATAACTTAAATAGAAAACTCTGTTGGTAATGTCTATTTGTACACTACACTTTAGTATGACAACTGAAAAGAATATTTCTTTAATGATTCATGTAGACCTACAAAAAATACTTCTAATAATATTCTAGTACTCCATAAAAATATTGCAACATGCCTCTTAATCCATCTGTGGACTTTGCTAACAAGCAAATATAAGGCCATCAGGATCATGTTACATAAGAACAAATTAATCAGTTAGGTGCAAAGTCTTTCTGGCAATTAAAATGTCAATTATTTGTAACTTTAGTTTATATCAGTATGAGTCTAGGTGCAGTTTCTACCTGGAAGGATGCATCTCATTGATTCAAAGGCTGTTACTCTGCTGCCACACCTCTGAACAATAAACACTAATTGCTCAATGAGTTGCACCTGGAAGTGGCCATTGTTGACAGCAAGCTGCAAGAGTATAAAAAATGGAGATGGAACATTCTAAGCTACAGGACAGAGAGTTTTCTCAGGTCTGTATCCAATCTTGTCTTTAGCAACTGCTGAAGCCATGGGGCCAAGACTCTTTCTGAGGTATGGTTCATTGCATGTTGTTTTTAAGTGCTTGCCTTAATGATTCTAAAGGAAGTCTTATTTGCAGCGTTGCCTGGATTTCTTTGTTGTTGGCTTGGACCCTCTTCAAAGAGGCAGAAGGTAAGCTTTAACTTCAACCTACTGAAATGTTGTGGGTAATTTTTATTTTAAAATATTTTGTCCTTGTTAGCACTCGCTGTGGGTCGGAAAACTGGTGCCAAGCTGAACCTTGGAGAAACTTCGGATGACTTTGAAGGCGGTCTGTCTTTTGATGAGGGAGAGCAGAAGCCATCTAAAGTGATAAACAAGGAATACAAGAAGGCTCCACCAGCACAGCCACTGAAGCTGTTCTCAGGTGACCAAAATCTGATCACTAAGCCGCATTCTAACGTGGAGAGAATTGTTGGTGGTGCTTCTAGACAATGGGAGTCCAATGTGTTGGAGCCAATCACTTTTCCTCTGAAATCAGTGGACCAAGCTCAACCCAAGCCACTTTATGAGTCCCAGTCCTCCCCTTTGGTTTATGGAAGCAAAAAGCCTGTCCCACCAAGATATGGCAAGATTACAACTGGAATCCAAAAGGTGAAGCCCAAGCCTGTCCTTCCCTCCAATTTTGCTTTCTTCCCCCCTAGCTTTGAGTCTGTGGTTCCTAGCAGTGGAGTTGGTAATAATGTTGCTGGTTCCACTTTCCAGCAGGGAAACCTTGATTCAACACAGGGTGTTTATTCAACTAATGCTATCAGTCCTGGATCTCCAACCCCAGAAGAGGAGGATGATGATCAGATCTCCAATCAAGAGTCTAACCTGATAGAATCAGCTGGCAAAGCCCCCATTCAAAAGCAAATTTCTTGGATTTCACCAGCAGTTTCTATTCCTCTTCAAAGTGAATCCAGGCGCACACCAGAGTGGTTTGGACAGAGTAATGAAATTGACGATTCAGCTAATTTTGCTCAACCAACTTTGGCCAGATGGCTATGGGCCTTCCCGCCGTCCTATTTCTCTGGTTTCTACTGGCCTAATATAATGGGTCCTCTGGGTAGATCTCTTCCAGCAAAAGCCACAGACCCACTGAATGTGCTGTTGCCCCCAAAAGGCTTCGTCATGCATTCAAAGAATCGGTACCAGCGACGAAGGATTCAGAAATCTAAACTGACCTACACACCTCACTACCAGATGTTAAAGGGGAAACCTGGCAAGGGAGGGCAGAACTCTCACCCCTCCAACGTCTGAAAAATGCAGAGGTTAGTTCCTTTCAGATCCACTCTATATCTTAATAGAATAACTGTCCTAATGGTTTGTTTTCGTTTTTCTTCTGCAGAATGACTTTCCTCTAAGAATTTGAGAACAATAAACTTTTAAAATTGCTTCATTCTCATGTCATCTTTATACCTATTTTGCACCAGACTAACTTGTAGAAGTGTCTTACCTTGGCATTGAAATCCTTGTTTCCCAAATCCCCTGCAACAAAGCAAAATGGGCTTTCTGATTAAAGCAGACTATTTGATCTTTATATGCATATTGTTTTCATTCTGCAATGTAGAGAAACTTTAAATCCCATTTTAAAAAAAAAGGCTCACCATATGAAATCTGTACAGTGACTACAGAACGTCGGTTGCTTGAAGAACCTTGCAGTAAACTTGTGGTTCTTCACTTCGTGCACATTCTTCTGTCTCAAAGCTCCTTTTCGGGCGAATCTATTTCCAACCCCCGCAGAATCGTTGTAATGTAGAAGATGCTCAGCCATTGCGGAGGAGGAAAGTTAAAAAAGCCACAACTTCTCCAGTCCCGAGCGGCTGCCGGTGATGCGCTCCTCTGACTGAGCTTCGGACTGAGCGCTCCTTTCATTCAAAGTGACGCTGCAGAGGAGCCTGCTTTTACGTAGCTTACGTGGGAAAATTCACGCGAAATCACAGAAACCGGCCATGTACTACGCTTCTACTGAAACGTAAGAGCCGAATGAGAGGAGCCTGTTATGAAGCTTTTCCTGTAAAGTGAAACATCCTGCCTGCATATATTAAATCTATATGCAGTTTTCTGCAAATTACACTTTTTGCAGTTTTCTTATATTTGGTCTGTTTAGGCTCAAGTTGTATGAGGGGAGCTGACATTCACTTTCATGCATTAGAAGAAATTGGGAAAAGGTTTGCATTATAGGTGAGCGTTAAAATGTATGTTTATATGGTCTTAAAGGCAACGCCTCCCCATTTCAGAAGCGCTTCCATTTTAAACTGTAGTTACTGTGCGCCCTCGTGTGGTCATGTCAAACTTCACGTTTCAAATTGTTTATTTCAGGGTGGGGTTGGAATATTTAAGGCTTCTAAATTCTGTTTAATTAGTAACTTCAAAATTAACTATTGGCGTTTTTTGGAAAATTTTTGGGTGTGTGTTTTTTTTTTTTTTTTTTTTTTTTTTTTTTTTTGTGTGTAGTTGTGAAGCCTAATACAAAATGGTTTCCAAATTTGTAGGATTTTCCTGTGGAATTTTATAGCCAGTTATCTAATTTCAAAACCATATTTTGTTCTGCGTATTTTTGGTCCCAATGATGCCTTCAGTCACTTGTATTTGATTTACTGGCAAAACTTATTAGATGGAAATGAAAATTCACAATGAATTTAGGAACTTCATGTTAAAGTGATTCAAATAGGACAAACATGCAATTATGACAGCCTCTGCTAATTCAATGTAAAGGTTTGCCACTGGATTTATGTGTGTGTGTGTATATATATATATATAGCTTTTTTTTTCATGCATGTTTTCCTTTTGAAATGCTTCAAGAGCCACTACAAAATTAACATGGACCTTTTTATTTTGGACTACCAGGTTAATTGAGAGAACTTTATTGTCTCTTAATTTTGGACTGTAATCTTGCACTTAAAAAAATGTGATTTAAATTAACTTATCCCAATGCCTTAGAAATGTTAACTATTTGTTCAATGTATTATATTAAGTATTTAGTTCTGTTAATTTCAAAGATCTTTGTTTATACCTTACAAAAATCCAAAATTTTAATCCCCCCCCCCCCCCCCCCCCCCCCCACCCAGAATATTGATTTATTAAATGACAAAATGTTATGGTCATATCATGGATGACATAAACAAAAAGAAAGGCACTACTTAAGCTGTCTTTCTACATTTATTAGAAAGGGAAGTGGAAGGAAAAATTAAAGCCAAACACAACTGGTGTGACAAAACCTCTCACCTGATGTGAAAGGCTTATGTTGTAAAGACACGATAACTGGTCAAATGTTGGCTCTCATCAGATAAAAGATTCCAAGAAATTCCTCCCCCATACAAGGAAGGTAAAGTTATGTATTTTTTTTTTCTTTTTGCGAAATCAAGGTATGTCAAACTTGATTTGAAATGCTTGCAGGGTAGTGGATTTATCATAAAGACACTATAATTACAATCAGATGCTGGTATCTGCTTTTGTTTTACCTGCATGCAGGAAGGACCTGTAAATGACACATAAAACTCAAATTCAAAATATTTTTTTTAGTTACCTTTATTATACTTAGTTTCCACTTTTCTCATATGCATGTGTAGCATCTTTGAAATGACCAGGCAAGAGTTCCATATTGGTGCCTGAACTTTTGAAGGGTAAAACCTTTGACCTGTATACTTTAAATTCATGGTGTTAAACTTTTGACACACATAAGAATTTAGACACAGACTAGTTCATAACTTAAATCTCAAGAATTTTTATTCTAAATTTGGGTTTGAAGTCTAGCAGTTTTCTGTGTTTTCTTTACAAAATAGTTGGACTAGGTTTTTTGGTATAGGTGATGGACAAAAAAAAAATTAACAATCAATAGTCCTCTAAAGCCTATTTGCTAATATTTCAGCAAAGAAGCACGGTAAACTTCTGACTGCTGGTAAAGAATCCAAAGGCAGATGGAATTTTCCAGTTAACCTAAGGGAAATATTTTGACTAGGGAGAAAAATCATCTATGTGGAGAATGTAAAAACTACCAAAAATATTCTTAAGCAAATTATAGTGCAAACAAATGTGCAACTGTCTCATTTTCGCTTGGTATAGATGGACTATGTTTAACTAAATTTTTTGGAGCTATTTATTCTTTATTTCGTTATGGCAACCCTGGAGAAGGATTATGAGGACCTTGGGGCTGATGGCTTAGGAGAAGAAGAGAGGAATATTAATAACTTTATGTTCTAATAAAGACTTTTGACTGCACCAAAAATTAATAATGATAATAAAACAAAAGATAAATAGAATCAACATTATTAATCTGCAAATAAACTCTGTAAATGACACAAAAAATTTAAAAATAAACTAGCAAAATTCAAATGGGTAAAGAAATAAAGAACAAATAGCTCCAACAGTCTGGCGCTTAATTGTGAAAACTGCCACAATTACAAAAAAAAAAGGAAAAGAGGCTATTCCATCAAACACATCCTCAATTCCTGAGGGTGATGCTTCCAATAGCAAAAGAGGTTTGGTCAGGAGTCTTTCCAAACGGCTGGTCTTTGCTTTTAATTGCACAGTCTGCACCATCCTGGTTTACACTCAAGACTTTTTTTAGCTTTGGGATTGATGGGCAGTGTTTAACTACATATACTATATATAAACTATATAAATATAACTTTTAATGTTCCTAATAACGACTTTTTGCTGCATCAAAAATAAATAAAAAATATTAAACAAAAGATAAAAAGAATCAACAAATATAAACCTGCAAATAAACAATGTAAATAATAAAAAAATATATATAAATTAAAGAATAAACTAACCAAATCTAAATTGATACAAAAAATGAAAGAATCAATAGCTCCAACATTTAACGTTTTAGACCTCCATATAATTATAACACTATATTTCGTCTTTTTCTGACGACGATATATTTAATTGAAACGTTGCAAGGAGCTCTTCTACTTTCTATTCATTTTAGTATTAATTCATATCTTCTACTTTACAACAAAAAAATCTGAACACAGAACTTTAATTAACCCATCACGGATTCAACACTTAACGTGTAAATTAGTTCTTTCTCGCTTTAATAAAGAAAACATTATATAAATGGTCTGCAATTTTAAATTCTGAATAAAACGTTGAATAAAATGTAATAAAGGGAAATATATTGGAGCGATATCTATTACACATCTGCAAGCAGTTGAAGGGGGGGGGGGGGGGGGGGCTGTCTCCACGGAAACGGATGTGTCGTAAACTGATGGACGCTTAAAGTTTGAAGCAGTTTGAGCGGCTAAATCTGTGCTCAGGTAATCCCCCTTTCACGTAGCAGGTTATGTTCTTGCACGTTTTAGAAACAGCCCATTAGTTTACTAAAGAAAACGAGATACAAATGATACAAGAGGAGGCGACAAACAGCCAAACAGCTCGGCTTTAGCTTGGCTAACTTTAAAGCTAATCGCTGTCAGCACTTAGCACCGCTGTATGCTAAAACGAGTTGTCATGGCAACAGGACGTGTGTCTAGGTCTTATCGTTTGATCTACAGTGGATGTTTATTGTGGAGACAGGTTTCAAACAAGGACGTAAATCTATCTAGCGTTCTTTGATCTTATTTTTTATTTTATTTTCCTTAATCCCTGTCAGGTCACCATGAGCAAACATGAAGACTTGTGGGAGAGGCTTGACACGGAGTTTGATCATTTGCTCCTAGACATGAAACCGTTTGTTCTCAAGCATCCCAGCAAAACAGGTGAGATTTCATCCCAGCTGCACTAACAGCAAAACACTGCAGAAAATAGCACCTCTGTTGTCTTTTGCAAAATGCGTGGTTTTCAACATACAGAAAAGGCTTAAGCATTTCACTGCAACCAATTTTACTGCCTTAAATCATATTGATATAATAAAAAAAATATGCCAAACTTAAAATATCTCACAGATCTGTCGTTTGTATATTGGAAAGAGCATTTCACAATTGCGAACTAAGAGCATCCTTGTAAACTTACAGACTGTGTAATGGGATAGTTTATGAGAGGATGTAGAGAGAAAAAAATATATATGACAAGGTGCTTTCAGCCAGATGAGACCATAATGTAAGGCTAACATTACTTTGAAAAGTGATAGAGATGCTTTTCATCAGGAGAACCAGTGGAACTGGTCAGAAAACTGCACCTCCATGGAGCAATATTCTTGGAAAACTAGTAAATACACCTGCTAGAGGCTGCAAAAGCCTTGAGAATGTGAGGAGGGGGTGGAGTCATCTGATTTTTCATTTGGAGAATCACCCTAACCATACAGACAGAACTACACTGAAATCATCTGGATCAAAATGTTAAAATCTGATTAATATGTTGGAATTGTCTAGTCCAGTGGTCTGAAGCTTGTTTAATTTGAAAGGCCACATTTCCCACCAAGGCTACAAAATATGTTATTTGTTTCCCCCAAGAGCCATAATAAACATTTACCTTAAACTAAGATTTTCTATTGTTCTTATTTCAAAACTAAAAAGATAATGTATCCTTTTCATAAACAAAACACTTCAAGCTGAAAGTGCTATCATAAATATGAAAAATGAAGAACAATAGTTTGTTCATCTAAGAATATATATATATATATATATATATATATATATATATATATATATATATATAAAAAGAAGGACTAAAATACTTTTTAAAGCTTTGTGCGATGCTGTTGTAGATTTGCTGTACAGATTTTGTGCGAAAGCAAGCAGAAGAGCTTTTGATTACTGCTGTTTTCATTAGAGCGATGGTGAAAGGGCCAAAGAGCCATGTTTGGCTCTGGAGCTGCAGGTTTCAGCC